GGATGAAATTAAGATTAATTTGTACCAGAATGACAGGAAGAAAGAATTGTGGAAAAGGCTTGGAACAGCTCATGATCCAAAGCACACAACGTCCTCTGTAAAACATGGTGGAGGCAGTGTGATAACATGGGCATGCATGGCTTCCAGTGGCACTGGGTCATTGGTGTTTGATGATGTGGCAGAAGACAGAAGCAGCCGGATGAATTCTGCCGTGTTTGGAGATATACTGTCAGCCCAGATTCAGCCAAATGCAGCAAAGTTGATTAGGTGCTTCACAGTACAGATAAAAAATGATCCAAAACACACTGCAAAAGCAACCCAGGAGCTTTTGAAGGAAAAGTGGAATATTCTTCAATGGCTGAGTCAATCACCTGATCTCAACCCAATTGAGCATGCATTTCACTTTCTGAAGGCAAAACTAAAGGCAATAAGACCCACAAACAACGAACAACTGAAGAAAACTGCCGTTACAGCCTGGCAAAGCATCAGAAAGGAGGAAACCCAGTCTTTGGTAATGTCTTTGGGTTCCTGACTTCAGGCAGTCATTGCCAGTAAAGGATTCTCAACAAAATATTAAATTAACATTTGTTATGATTATATTCATTTGTCCAATTACATTTGAGCCCCTGAAAATGTACTTTTATGTTCAACCCCTTGAATGAAAGCAGGAAGACTGCACTCCAAATTAATTTGGATTGTTTCATTTTAATTTATTCTGGTGACATACAGAGCCAAAAATATGAAAATTGTGCCTGTGTCCAAATATATATGGACCTAACTGTATATAGCGCTGTCAATATATGCAGCACTTTACATATAGATTGTACCTTCATATCAGTCCTTAACCCTCAAGGGGTGTACAATCTAAGGTCCCTAACTTACATTCATACATACACATACTAGGAACCAGCAAACACTCCTGTGCTTGGGGATGGACTCGATGCAGGCTACAACCACATTAAGGATGTCTTGGAACATGCACACCTTGCTGCCCTCAAATAGACCGGGGGAATCCAAATATACTGAATGAGGAAAGAACAAACAGAGGGCGCACAGGCCTAGAGCATTACCATAAAAAATGTTTAATAAAAAATAAAGTAGGTGTTGTACTCACAAACGACAATATAGTCAAGGCACATCATAAAGAACCGCTGGGTCAACACCGCGCTGAGTAACAGTCCGCAATAGGGAGTGTAGACATCCAATAGGTTGATGCGTTTCGAGGACTCTGAGGAAGAGGCAAGTCCTCGAAATGCGTCTGACTTGACTACATTGTCGGTGAGTACACCTACTTTATTTTTTATTAAACATTGTTTATGGTAATGCACTAGGCCTGTGCGCCTTCTGTTTGTGCTTTGCCCATACACATACTAGGGCCAATTTAGACCGGATCCAATTAACCTACCAGCTTGTCTTTGGAGTTTGGGAGGAAACCCACTCGGGCACAGGGAGAACATGCAAACTCCAGGCAGGTGGTGCCGTGGCTGGGATTTGAACCAACGGCCCTAGTACTGCCAGGCAGAAGTGCTAAGCATTTAGTCACTGTGCTGCCCTGTTTGATCCTGTCTTCTCTGATCCTCCCCTTCCAATTTCTTCCTCTTATCTCCCAATAAGACATATTGTGTGGTGACACTGCACATGCTCAGTTTGGTGTGTATTGCTAGAAATTTTTTTTTTTCTTGAGAGTCCATGTGTTCAGTACAGGGTCAATCAGCACTGCCCAGACAGAGGTCAGGGGTTCTACATCCTCCTAGAGAACTCCTCCTACAAGCTTTAACCAGTGCTCTGCTGAACACTGAAGTCGCATTACTGCTCTAACTGCTGATGAGAAAAGGTATTTAGCAGTTTATATTTACTAAAGTAATTGCATTTCCATGTTCTGTGTACTGTAGGAGACCAGATATAGTGAATGCAGGGTCCTGGGTTTAGTAACACTTTAACCATCTCTTCAAGAAATGAGAGATCTTTTCTTTGCAGTGCCGTTGTGTTCCCAGCTGAAATAGAAGTGACAACTTACGAATGCACTTGATCTTTGGATGCAGCCAACAGAGAGTCCGCCTATTTATAGATGGTGTCCATCTATAATAGATTGTTTGTCTGAACAGAGTAATAAATCCTATTGATAGGTCCATCTTTTCTTTCCATATTTCCAATTAAAGTGAACCTATGAGAAATATGGGAGCTACGATTGCTTGTTTTTTTAAAGATGCAAGCCCCAGAACTGTCCTCTTTATTCTTGCGTCAGTCCCTAACTAGGAATAAGCATGCGTTAAAGTCTAAAAAAGTTCTCATTTTGTATACATTTTCAGGTCAATGATTCTAGAGCCAGTAGTATCAGGATTAAGATGGGATCCTTAGAGTCTGCACCTTTAATCACTTACACGCCGCCCTGTAGAAGTACTGCTGCAGGGCTGTGCAAAAAACACGCGTGTGTGTGTGTATATACAGTCAGGTCCATAAATATTGGGACATCGACACAATTCTAACATTTTTTGCTCTATACACCACCACAATGGATTTGAAATGAAACGAACAAGATGTGCTTTATCTGCAGACTGTCAGCTTTAATTTGAGGGTATTTACCAAATCAGGTGTACGGTGTAGGAATTACAACAGTTTGCATATGTGCCTCCTACTTGTTAAGGGACCAAAAGTAATGGGAGAGAATAATAATCATAAATCAAACTTTCACTTTTTAATACTTGGCTGCAAATCCTTTGCAGTCAATTACAGCCTGAAGTCTGGAACGCATAGACATGACCAGACGCTGGGTTTCATCCCTGGTGATGCTCTGCCAGGCCTCTACTGCAACTGTCGCCAGTTCCTGCTTGTTCTTGGGGCATTTTCCCTTCAGTTTTGTCTCCAGGAAGTGAAATGCATGCTCAATCGGACTCGGGTCAGGTGATTGACTTGGCCATTGCATAACATTCCACTTCTTTCCCTTAAACTCTTTGCTTGCTTTTGCAGTATGCTTTGGGTCATTGTCCATCTGCACTGTGAAGCGGCGTCCAATGAGTTGTGAAGCATTTGGCTGAATATGAGCAGATAATATTGCCCAAAACACTTCAGAATTCATCCTGCTGCTTTTGTCAGCAGTCACATCATCAATAAATACAAGAGAAGAAGTTCCATTGGCAGCCATACATGCCCACGCCATGACACTACCACCACGCTTCACTGATGTCCCAATATTTATGGACCTGACTGTACGTGATTTGCATTTCCGGGTAGGGGGCGCATGCCGCCCTACCCGCGCTGCCATTGGAAGCTACGGATGTCAATCACTGGGTCCTGACCAGAGATTCCCTACCGGTGACCGCAAAGTAAAACTGACAGGGAGAGACCTGTGTGTAAACACAGGTCTCTCTCCTGCCTTCAAGGACATGCTGCTGTGTATTTCTCTGCACAGCAGCATGTTTCCCTACTAAAACGCACACCGCACATTATGTAAAACCGCACACAGTTAACCCTTTTGATCGCCCCAGATGTTAATCCCTCTCTGCCCAATGTCCTTATTAAAGTCAGTGTTTTTTATTAGTATTGATCACTGTATTAGTGTCATTAGGATGTTAGTGGCAGTCAGTTCCCCCCCCCCCCCCCCAATGTCAGAATGCCCACCGCAGTCCCACTATAAATCGCTAATCGCCACCATTACTAGTATAAAAAAATTCTAGTGTGTATATATACACCGCCAGATGCTATAACTTTCACATAAACCAACTACTTTACATGTATTGGGATTTCTTTTTTTTTTTTTTTTTCCTTTTAGCAAAGACATGTAGCAGAATACACTTTGGCCTAAATTTATGACAAAATTTGTTATTTTTTTTTTACTGAATGTTTTGGAGCAAAAAGTCAAATATGTAAGGTGTGTGTTTTTTTTTTTTTTTAATTGTCAGGGGTTTTTTGTTTTATAGCGCAAAGATAAAAACGGCACAGGTGATCAAATACCACTGAAAAAAAGCTCTATTTGTGGGGAAAAAGGGCATGATTTTCATTTATGTACAGTGTTGCATGACCGCACAATTGTCAGTTAAAAGAACACTGCGACATATTGCAAAAAATGACCTGGTCAGGAAAATCCTCTGGAGGGCAAGCGGTTAAAGTGGAATTTCAGCTTACACCTAACTAGCCTTTAAAGCCGTCCCCTTCCCCCTCCTAACACCTTTGTTAAAAAAGTGTGTAAGAAAAATGTGTATACTTAAATATTTCCAGGTCACTCCTGGCTGGTCACATGATCTTCCCTAGGTCAGCCAGCATCGGCTGCCCCTGGCAGAGAAGAGAGAACACTCTGACAATGACTAGTAAAGCCTGGAGTGGGGACATCACCCATAGGTTTCAATGGTCCATCCATTGTTGATGCTTCCTCCTCTCCCGCACTGGCTGACAGGGTAGCCAGACCACGTGACTGGACCAGAAAGGAACACGCTGGGGAAAAAGGTTAGTTAGCATTGGTGTTAGGAGGAGGGGACAGTTTGAAGGCTACCTAGATGTAAGCTGGAATCCCACTTTAATAAATATATATGTGTTTCAACAGGGTATCGTACAAAGACAAAACCGCACAGCTTTGCACATAAAAGGAGCAAATAAAGCATTAAGTTAAAGCAATAAAAAAAGTGTTCCCTTTTTAAGTGCTCAGAAAGTCGAAGTGCATACAAGGACTTCCCTGCTGGTAGTAGGATGGGAATCTTGTATAGGTTTTTTTGCAATTCCTTTTTTTCTGTGGGAATCCTAGACCAAGTCATTTGTTGAAAATTACTAATCCCCAATTGTCAGCTCTGTCCTTTTTTTTTTTTTTTTTTTTTTTTTTAAACGTTTACAGATTATCCATGAATGTTGTTCAGATCTAATTTACATGAACTAGTTTGTGAAAATTGTGTTTTTGGATAGACACCCTGCAGGATGTCCTATACGTGACAAGTTGAACACCATTTTGAGAACATTGTTAACAATATACAAAGGTGCAGACCATAAATAATGTGTTTTCATTCAACTTGTAGATGAAACCAGGACTACTGGCACTAGCACAGATAGTGGCCCGCCAGCATTGCCAAGATTGCCATCTTGTTGTCCTGAGCATTCACCTTGTGGAGGATCTTCACAGAATCCCCATGTTATGGGACATCCTCATTCTAGTTGTTATCCATCACATAGTCACCATTTTCCACATCATCACCATCATCACCACCACCCCACTGTCCCCCTGTCACCTTCTTTCTCAGAGTCTCACTGTCCTGTGGAAAGAAATGCTCCTGTCCCTCCACCTTGTGGATCAACAAGCAGTTCTTCTTCCACCTATCATGACCCGGTAAGAATCTTCAAAATATGACCCTTAAGAAGCTTTTTATTTTTTTTTTTTTTAATTTAATTTTAAATAGTATAATTGTTATATACTGTTACACTTAAGTCATTTTCTTAGAGAACTAAGTGTTTTTCTGGTAAAGTACATCATCCTTATAAATATTCAGAAAATCGTTAATGTATGTATGTATGCACGAGCAATACACAGTATAAAAGATTTTTAATTTTTTTGTGGGTTTAAACGAACACATGATGACCTACAGTTTGTGGACACCTGATTGCCCAAAACCATGAGTATTAATGTGGAATTAGCTGCTCTACTTCTGGAGCTCTAACAGCCCACACACTTCTGGTAAGGCTTTCCTCAGTATGTTTGTAAGAATTTTAGATCTTTTAGCCAAGAGTATTTGATAGGTAAGGTACTACTGTTGGACAAGGAGACCTTGCTCACAGTTCATGTTCATTTCGCCCAAAAGGCATTCAGGGCTCTGTGCCGGCCTCTCCACTTCCTCCGCACCAAATTCCTTAAACTAGGAATGCTCAGTGGCCTGTGTGTGCCACATTATTATTATTTTTATCATTATTATACAGGATTTATATAGCGCCAATGGTTTGCTCAGCGCTTTACATTATAGTGGGAGACAATACAGTTCAATACAAGAGGGATTAGATGGCCCTGCTCTTTGGAGCTTGTGGTCCCTGACCTCATGCTCTGGTATGGCAGGAAGGCAAGCCCAGATCACAGGTTGCCAACCCACCATCTCACAGCATAAGAGTGCATGGAGCCAGCAGCGGAGGAGGCAAGTGGTCATGGAGGGAGCAGGAGCCATGTAAGCAGATATCCTGTCCCAGGTGGAGTGATACCAAGAGCGCTTCATCTGGGACCTTTCTAGCAACCTAGCCACGCCAGCAGAAGCTTAAGGAGAAAAAAGGCCAGTTTAAAAGTGCTATTATGCCCATTGCAAAACTATGACCTTTTATTAAAGGATTAGGCTGCTTTTACACTAATGCGCTGCAGTTTACTTGTACCATGGGTGCAACAGAGTGCACCTGCTGCTTTCCTGTGGATTAGCTGCACTGAGCCATAGATTTCAATTATATCGTGGGTTTGGTGTGGCTGTAGCCTTCAGAAAGTGTACCACACCTGCAATAATACAAGTGAACAAGCGAACCTGTAGGAATGCCGCAGGTGTATTGTGCTGCACCCACGGTGCATCATTGTGAAAGCGGCCTTATAAGGGGGCTCTGGTCATTAAGGGCAGTTTGGAGGTTGGTAAAACCCCATAGTTGAGACAGGTTTTTCCAAACTCTCTCCAACCACTGGTGTAGGGTCAAAGGTTGCAGTGGTGACCCCGCCCCATGCTCCAGGGGCCCGTGTGGCCTCCCTGTCACATTCTGTTTTACAGTTGGATAGGAGGGGCAATGGGGGTGGCATATACAGGAACCTATCCTCTCCATTTTCCTCCTGATACCGCTGAAAGGTGGCTTCTTCTCCTCTCCCTCCCACTTGAATTAAGTGGCAGCAGGAGGAAAGATGGTCATTATGCTATTCAAAATTCTGAATCATTTCTTTTCGTAGTGGCCCATGACTTGTTACCAAATCACTTAAGTGGCCCTCTCTCTTAGAAAGGTTGAGCACGCCCTGCCTTAAACCATGTCTTTATGGACTTGGCTTTGTGCACAGGGGCACAGTGATACTGGGGAAGAAAATAATGTATGCTCCATCTTATGGACCTCTTATAACAGTAGGTTGTGCTGAAACATCTGAGCTCAGGAATTTGGGGGGTGTCCACATACTTTGTGTGTATAAAGATATAAAAAAATTACTGAATCTGAACAAATATGACATATAACTTATCTGACACATACAGTTGCAAGAAAAAGTATGTGAACCCCTTGGGATTACGTGGAGTTTTGCATGAATTGGGCATAAAATGTGCTCTGAACGTCATCTAAGTCACAACAATAGAAGAACACAGTCTGCTGAACATAACACTACACAAACATTAGATGTTGCCATGGTTTAATTGCACATAACATGTAAACATTCACAGTGCAGGGAGGAAAAAGTATGTGAGGCCCTAGCTTAATGACTTCTCCCAGAGCTAATTGGAGCCAGGAGTGAGCCAACCTTGACTCCAATCAGTGTGATGATATTGGATGTGTTGCTGACAGTTGTCCTGCCCTTAAAAAACACACACCTGTTTTGGGTTTACTGGTTTCAAGAAGCACTGTCTGATGTGAACCATGCCTCGCAGAAAAGAGCTCTCAGAAGACCTACGATCAAGAATTGTTGACTTGCATGAAGCTGGAAAGGGTTATTAAAGTATCTCCAAAAGCCTTGATGTTCATGTGTCCACGGTAAGACAGACTGTCTACAAATGGAGAAAGTTTAGCACTGTTGCTACTCGCCCTAGGCATGGTCGTCCTGTAAAAATTACTGCAAGAGCACAGCGCAGAATGCTGCATGAGGTAAAGCAGAATCCCACAGTGTCGGCTAAAGACCTACAGAAATCTTTGGCACATGCTAACATTTTTATTGACACATCTACAATAAGGAAAACATTAAACAAGGATGGAGTACATGGGAGGACACCACGGAGGAAGCCATTGCTGTCCAAAAAGAATATTGCAGCACGTTTGAAGTTTGCAAAATAGCACCTGGATGTTCCACAGCACTACTGGCAAAATGTACTGTGGACAGACGAAACCAAGATTGAGTTGTTTGGGAAGAACACACAACACTATGTGTGGAGAAAAAAAGGCACAGCACACCAACATCAAAACCTCATCCCCACTGGAAAACATGGCGGACGGAGCATCATGGTTTGGGGCTGCTTTGCTGCCTCAGGGCCTGGACGGATTGTTGTCATTGATGGGAAAATGAATTCCAGAGTTTATCAAGACATTTTGCAGGAAAAGGTACGACCATCTGTCCAGCAACTGAAGCTCTGCAGAGGATGGGTGATGCAACAGGACAATGACCCAAAGCATACAAGTAATTCAACAAAACAATGGCTGCAACAGCACAGAATACGCCTTCTGGAGTGGCCCAGTCAGAGTCCTGACCTCAACCCAATTGAAATGCTGTGGCATGACCTTAAGAGAGCAATTCACACCAGACATCCCAAGAATATTGCTACACTGAAACAGTTTTGTGAAGAGGAGTGGTCCAAAATTACTCCAGATCGTTGTGCAGGTCTGATCTGCAACTACAGGAAACGTTTGGTTGAGGTTATTGCTGCCAAAGGAGGGTCAACCAGTTATTAAGTCCAAAGGTTCACATACTTTTTCCTCCCTGCACTGTGAATGTGTACATGTTATGTGCAATTAAACCATGGCAACATCTAATGTTTGTGTAGTATTATGTTCAGCAGACTGTGTTCTTCTATTGTTGTGACTTAGATGACGTTCAGAGCACATTTTATGCCCAATTCATGCAAAACTCCACGTAATCCCAAGGGGTTCACATACTTTTTCTTGCAACTGTATATATGTATATGCATGCCTAAAAAGAAAAATACACATGTCTGTAGATTTCTTTAACTTTTTTTAAATTTTTTTATTAAAATGTGTTCAATTTTATTTCATCCAAAAATGTTACCAGTAATGTTACTAAACATGAATACTGTTGCCAGATGTTCTATGGAGGTATTAATCTTTATCTCCACTCTTGCCACCAAAGGTATGGGTAGGCGGGATCATGAACATAGACATAGCTACCAGTAAGAACCCCCTGCAGGTGCATCATATTTATGTGGATATAGCCCTTTTATGAGTGTGCTTGTATATTGTGCCTGAGGAAATAAATATTTCTTAAACCTTGAGTATGCAAACCTGGGAAACCATCAAGAGGTAGCCTTTGATTTTGTGTATCTATAAGATGGTCTTGGAATAAGACCTGTCAGCCTAGACATATGTCGTTGGCATTTCCAGAAAATTCTAGTTGTCTGGCTGTCATGCTGATCTAGTGCTTACAGTATTCACAGACATATAAAAAGTACACAGATCAGGTGTTCTTACTGGACTTGGTGCTTGGCTGTGCCAAGTCATTGACTTGGTGAAGTGAGACTTGTGATGACCAGATAGGTAGGCTACTCTATTTTCTCAATATGGGTTTCCTTTTAGAAAAGAACTATTGGATAATCTCATGGTTTTATCATTTTACGTTTCAGCAAGCCTTGCCTGTGGATTTAAGCAATAATGGTATTCGAAGCCACGGAAGTGTTAGCTTTCATAGCACATCTGCTTTTGATCCTTGCTGCCCTGGCTCATCATCAAGGTCTACAGTTTACGGACATCAGTCAACTGCCAGTACGGCACAAACTATGGCTATTGATGGCTTTGCGCCTGGCTTGGTAGCTCAGACACAGCCACCTTCCCAGACGTCTCTTTCCTCTTGTCGCCATTACATGCATTCTCCATGTGAGTATATCTATTTAATATAATAAAAATACTGAAGTGCTTAAAATGGAACTCTAGGCTTTAAATAAAGAACTACTTTACCTGCAGAAAAATGTGCATTTATTTTATGTTGAAAGGTGAACTTATCCTTTAAGGTTGCATCTCCTGTTTTCTCCCCCTCTCTCTTCTCTTGCCTGTGCAGCTCTTCACACTTGTGTCACTAAAGGTAAAACTTTTTTTTTTTCTTTTAATTTTGGAAAGAGAGAGTTATAACCCTTGTCAGGTATTCTATGCCATCTCTATCCCATTAGGGAGATAGCCAAAACAGGAAGTGAGAGGAAATCCTGGCTTGTCGCCAGAACCAGTGGTCCCATTGGAAGATTTCCCCTCTATTCTTCCTGATGTCAACCCAAAATTTGGGGTTTTCTTTTTCTTTCGATGACAGTAGACAGGAAAAATGGAGAGGGTGAATCTCCCTAACTGGGACAGCATTAAAGTATAAGTTCACCTTTTAGAACATGTTACATGTTCCACCCAAATTTAGGATGGAACATGTTACATGTTCCAGCTCCTTCCCCTCCCTGATCCTCTCTTGCTGTGACAGCGGGCAGGGGAGATCCTCTCACTTCATCTGTTGTACAAATTTAAAAAATGCGTGGCCGTGCAGGGCTCTACCCACACAGTCACACCTTTCATTCACTGTTCTATGAATGAATTACATCTACATTCGGCCTCCACTGCCGACAGCTTGTAGTTCTCAATGAACTGAGAAGGCATTTGTGAGCGCCTCGTAGTTCATTTCTTCTTCCTGCCATTCAGTAGCTGTTTGCCTGTATGAGGTACAGGCAGACGGCTATACTGAATGTCTGAACGATCCTGGCATTGCACCTGCAATCTGCTGATCACAGGTGAAATGCCTTACAGGCTGCGGAGTACAGAAATAATAAATACACTTTTGTTTTACATGCAAAAAGATGTGCATTTATTATTTTTTGTAAAAGGTGAACTTGGTCTTTAAAAACCAACAGATATTCTAAGCCCTCTCCACTCCAAATTGTAAAACCAAAAACTAAAACTAAAAACTAAAAAAAAAACCAAACATTGCATTTAGTGACACTTTAAGAAGGTTAGTGTTGCTCATATTCTTTTCGTGTGTGCTATTCAAAGACATAAAGAATAATCAACTGCCCATCTCCCTTCAATGTGTAAGGAGGAAGAATGGCCATTAGACTGGAAATTGAAACCTATGCACTGCTATGTGCAGAGGAGCTGAATTCAGGGATGCTAATGAGCTACATAGGCTATACCATTCAAAAGCTGCTATTTTTTTTTTATTTTGAATATATACACCAATCAGCCATAACATTATGACCACATACTATAACCCATTGAGCATTAGCTGCACTAGACTTCTGAAGGTATGCTGTGGTATCTAACACCAAGTCAACAGTAGCAGATCCTTTAAGTTGTAAGGTAGAGCCACCATGGATCATACTTGCTTTTCCAGCACAATCCACAGATGCTTCATTGGATTGAGCTCTGGAGAATTCAGATGTTAAATTAACACCTCAAACTCAATGTGTTCCTCAAACCATTCTTGACTCAATCAGACCAGGCCACCACCTTCCATTGCTCTGTGGTCCAGTACTGATTCTCAAATGTCTATTGTAGGTGCTTTTAGTTGTTGACACAGGTCAGCATGGGCTCCCTAACTGGTCTGCAGTTGCGTAGTTCTATTCGCAACAAACTGTAAAGTGCTTTGTGTTCTAACTTTTTTTTTTTTTTTTTTTTTATTCTCGGAACCAGCTTTAACTTTTTCAGCCATTTGAGTTACAGTAGCTCTTCTATGGGATCAGACTACACAGGCCAGCCTTTGCTCCCCACATGCAGCAATAAGTCTTGGCTGCCCATGACCCTGTCGCCGGTTTTCCTATTTGGACCACTTTTGGTTGGTCCTGATCACTGCAGACTGGGAACATCTCACAAGAGCTGCAGTTCTATAGATGCTCTGACCCAGCTGTCTAGCCAATACAGTTTTTCCCCTTGTCAGTTGCTCAAATCCTTACACTTTGTATACTTGGGCTTTTTTTTTTTTTTTTCTTCTTTTGTGATGGCATAATCTCTGTTCTCAGCAAAGGGGCTTAGGGAGCTAGGTATGGAGAAACAGCAGTACACTGATCAGACGTGTCCACACACGTCTCACCATTGGGGGACAGGCAGGTTGTTCTCCCAGCACATCCAGAGAAGCATGCCTAGTATGGTCAGTTTGAAGTAGGCAAGCAGGGGGGAAGTGGCAGGAACACCATGTATTTCACACTAAGGAAACAATACAAAGAGAACAGGATACTTTTTAAGACAAATACATGGTACGATATACACACATCAGGAATAATGAAATGTTGAGGTATTAAGTCCTACTGAGATGAGTACACATGTAGGGTACAAAGCTTGTTCATGACTTTCTTATACAACAGTCATTTCTGTATTTTTTTTATCTGTAATCCTTTGCTTGGTTTTAGTATTGTTTTGATTTCTATTTCTTCTGCTTGGTTTTAGATGCTTCACTTACAAGGCCTCTTCACCACCAGACATCTGCCTGCCCTCATTCTCATGCCAACCCTCCTCCTCAACCACCCCCACCACCTCAGATGGACTATGTTATTGCACATCCAGTAGCACCTTTTCATCCTTCTCTTCCAAGCCTTTCTTCAACGCACCCTGTTCCTCCTCCGCCTCCTTCTCACCATTTTACCAGTGCTGCTGCCCCTCTCTCACAGCATTTGTCCACCACCCATCAGTCTATGTCCCATCATATTTCTGCCACAGCACCTACAACACAGAGGTTGCACCCTCATGAAGTTATTCAAAGGATGGAAGTTCAAAGGCGGCGTCTTATGCAGCATCCAACGTAAGTATTCTTCTGACCCTTGTTCACACTAGCCTGAAGTGTTCTCATTTGATTAGGGTTCTAAACCTCATATTTTTCAGACGAGCTCATGAACGCCCACCACCACATCCGCATAGAATGCATCCTAACTATGGCCACGGACACCATATTCATGTACCACAGACAATGTCCTCCCATCCACGGCAGGCTTCTGATCGGTCTGCCTGGTAAGTAAAAGGAATTCTAAATCCTAAAGTTCTCATAAATGAGCTTTTTTTTTTTTTCTATTTTGCTTATAAAGTCAACTTTAATTTTAGGCTTTTCTAGGTGACAGGTTTATACTCTTTCAGTGTTTAACTTACTCGTAGGCACAGTCCTTTTCATTTATACTAAGGTTTCATGCCTTTTATTTGCATATTACATGGTTCATATACTGTTTCCTGTACCCATACAGCTATACAAGCACTGAGATTAAAATCTTCTTATTGCAGTTACAGGTTATTACAAGCTGTTTATATAACTAAGATGGGTGATTAATATTTGTATAGTAGGAGGCTAAAATGCAAATAGTTGGTTTTTATTAAAGTAGTGCAAATTGCAGTGACTGTGCCGTAACCCTTAGTAGCCGACCAGATTTCACAATACTGTAGGCAGATGAAATCTGGTTGCTTTGGGTTACTTTATTGTTCACTGTTAAAAATATATATATATATATATATATATATATATATATATATGTGTTGTGTGCTTTAAACAGTGGTGCTTAAAGTATTTTTTTGTGTGAAATAAAAATCTTGTTAATGTGTTTGTCTTAAAATATGTGTGCTACTTTTGTGCTAATGTTAAGCATTAAAGCCTACCTCCAAGCTAGCCCAAAGTACACTATATTGCCAAAAGTATTGGGACACCTCTCCAAATCATTGGATTCAGCTGTTCCAATCCCCTCCATGGCCACAGGTATATACAATCAAGCACCTAGGCATGCATTCTGCTTCTACAAACATTTGTGAAAGAATAGGTCATTCTTAGGAACTCAGTGAATTCAATCGTGGTACCGTGATAGGTTGTCACCTGTGCAATAAGTCCGTGAAAGTGGAGGCAACTGGGAACAGCAGCAACTCAGCCACAAAGTGGTAGGCCACGTAAAATGACTAAGCGTGGTCAGCGCATGCTGAAGGGCACAGTGCGCAGAAGTCATCAACTGTCTGGAGGTCTTTAGCTATTGACCCTGCAAACTTCATGTGGCCTTCAGATTAGCACAGCAGCAGTGCGTAGAGAGCTTCATGGAATGGGTTTCCATAGCCGAGCAGCTGCATCCAAGCCTTACATCACCAAGTGCAATGCAAAGCGTCGGATGCAGTGGTGTAAAGCATGATGCCACTGGACTCTTGAGCAGTGGAGATGTTCTCTGGAGTGAAGAATAATGCTTCTCTGTATGGCAATCTGATGGACCTGTTTGGATTTGGCGGTTGCCAGGAGAACGGTACTTGCCTGACTGCATTGTGCCAAGTGTACAGTTTGGTGGAGGGGGGGTTATGGTGTGGGTTGTTTTTCAGTGGTTGAGCTTGGCCCTTTAGTTCCAGCGGAGGGAACTCTGAAGGTGTCAGCATACCAAGACATTTTGGACAATTTCATGCTATCAACTTTGTGGGAACAATTTTTTGGAATGGCCCCTTTCTGTTCCACAGTGCACAAACCAAGGTCCATAAAGACATGAATAAGTGAGTTTGGGGTGGAGGAACTTGACTGGCCTGCACAGAGTCCTGACCTCAGCCCAATAGAACACTTTTGGGATGAATTGGAGCACAGAATGAGCCAGGCCTTTTCGTCCGACATCTGTGCCAGATCTCACAGATGCGCTTCTGGAAGAATGGTTGAACATTTCCATAGACACACCTAAACATTGTGGACAGCCTTCCCAGAAGAGCTGAATCTGTTATAGCTGGAAAGGGTGGGCCAACTCCATATTGAACCCTACGAACTAAGATTGGGATGCCATTAAAGTTCATGTAAAGGCAGGCATCCCAATACTTTTGTCAATATAGTGTATTTGCTACACTAACAGATGCACCCACAGGGCGCACCATCTAAACTGTATGTAGTCTCAGAAACATACAGTATACCGCACTGTGTTCCGGCACGGGGATGAAAACTTCTATAACAATATTAAAGGATAAGTTCACCTTTTAAGAAAAAAAATTATAAATGCACATATTTTTGCAGGTGAAAAAAATGTGCATTTATTTATTTTTTTACTTCGAGCCTGTTAAAGCATTGTACATGCTTGTAGCAGCAGATCGCAGGTGCCATGCAGGACTCCTGCAGACTTGTCAAAGTATCTGTCTGCTTGTTCCTCATATGGGCTGGCGAATACACACTGACAGGAAGAGACAATGAACTACCAGAGCGCTCAACAATGCAATGGTCGTTCATTGAGAACTAAAAGCTGACAGCCGCAGAGGCTGTTTGTACTTAGGTTTCCATCCACAGAACTCTTTGAATAATGTGGCCGGAGAAGATCCCCCCACTTGCATTCTCTAGAAGCTGCAGAGCAGGCAGTAGCTGGAGGAGTGGGAACATATTACATATTCTACCCTAAAAAAAGGTGGAACATGTAACTTGTTCCGAAAGGTGTACTTAACCTTTAAGTTAAGCTGAGCGCTGTCCAGCCATTTATAAACCGCTTTGTATTTATATGAATGAATACAAACCTCCCTCTGGCCGAAGTGGAAATCATGGCATCTGCCCGCCTTTTCACTTCAGAGAGTAAGGGGAAGCTTAGTCTTTCAGAGAATGCTGGACACAGCGCTGTATACTATATACAGCCAATGCTACATATAATTCATACAGTGCACCTGTTAGTACAGCAAGTAGTTCATCTGAGCCACCTTGACTCAATTAAATTAAAGAGACAGTAAACCTGGAGTTAGGCTTTAAATAGAAACCAAATAGATTTCTAGGTCTGATAAAGCTCCCATTTGTTGTATCTTCATACAAACATTATACTAATCCTCTTCTGTTGAAAAGGCTGACTTTTTTTTTGTTTGGTTACAGGGAAATAGCAATTGAAACTGGAGTGACTGCTGCCCCCTACCAAACTGGTCCTTTACATCCCCATCTAGCTCACTACCATCCACCTCCTAGACTTCACCACTTGCAGATTGGGGCCTTGCCATTAATGGTAAGATATGTTCAATTGAAAACTGATTTTGTGCTCTTAGACTAGTCAATACAGGTGCTAACTATTGCACAAATGTTAGGTCTTATTGGAAATGTAACAAATAAGGCAAATTACGTTTTCAGGTTAATTATTTTGAAGGAATGCACTGTTAGCAATTAAGTCGCTGGAAAACTAATATCTTGCCTCCTCTGGCAACATTCCTTGTGGTGTTTTTTTTTTTTTTTTTAAGATGTTAATCCTGCACAGTGGTGTAACTTAAACCATTTTGAAAAGTGGGTAACCTTTTATTCCCGAGCAGCAGAAATACTGAAGAACATTCTCGCTTACAATTTTAGAATTTGCCATGAGATAAAAAAATATACACACTATATATAATTTTGGTGCAAGGATAAGATATGGGCTGTATGTTTTTAAGTAATAAACTGTTGCAGGGTTTTTAGAGATCAAAAACTGGATATTAAACATTTTTACTGCCTAAATAGTCCACATAGAAATACTGGTCCCAGCCAGATCACAACGGTTGCCCCAAAGCTTGGTAATCGGAGTTTAGTGTTTTAAATACTAGAGCAGCTAATGTCCCTCCACATACAGTGGTAAAAATAATTATTTGATCTCCTGCAGAGAAATTAAGGGTATATAATTTTTATCTTAGGTGTATTTTAAACGATAAAGACAGAATATCAACTAAAAATCCAGAAAAAACACATGATACAAATGTTATCAATTGAGTTACAGTTCAGTGAGTAAAATAAGTATTTGATCCCCTACCAACCAACAAAAATTCTGGCTCCCACAGACTGGCTATGTGCTCATGTGGTACACGGATGAGCCCTGTCAATTTTAAGAAGGTGCTCCTAACAACTCATTAGGTGTATAAAAGACCTCTATCCACAGAATCTTTTGTTCCATGCAAACATCACCATCATGGGCAAGACCAAAGAGCTGTCAAAGAACATCAGGGACAAGATTGTAGACCTGCACAAGGCTGGAATGGGCTACAAGACCATCAGCAAGAAGCTTGGTGAGAAGGGGACAACTGTTGGAGCGATTATTCGCAAATGGAAGAAATACAAAATAACCATCAGTCACCCTTGGTCTAGAGCTCCATACAAGATTTTGCCTCATGGGGTAAGGATGATCATGAGAAAAGTGAGTGATCAGCTCAGAACTACATGGGAGGAACTTGTGAATGATCTCTAAGCAGTTGGGACCACAGTCACCTAACAAACCATTGGTAACACCATACACTGCCATGGATTGAAATCCTGCAGCATCCGCAAGTTCCCCCTCTTCAAGAAGGCACATGTACAGGCCCCTCTGAAGTTTACCAATGGCCATCTAAATGATTCAAAGAAGGATTGGGGGAGAAAGTGCTGTGGTTAGATGAGACTAAAATTGAGCTCTTTGGCATTAACTTGTTTTGCTGTGTTTTGGAGGGGAAAAAAAATTCTGACAATGACCCTAAGAACACCATCCCTACAGTCAAGCATGAAGGTGGAAACATTATGCTTTGCGGCTGTTTCTCTGCTAAAGTTACAGGTCGACTTTGTTGCATTGTGGGGCCAATGGACTTGACATATATTGTAAAATCTTGGATGAGAATGTTCGTGCCTTTGAACACTGAATATGGGTCGTGGATGGGTCTTCCAGCATAATGACCAAAACATACCGCCAAGGCGACAAAGGAGTGGCTGAGGAAGAAAACATTAAGGTCATGAAGTGGCCTAGCCAGCCTCCAGACCTTAATCCTATACAATATTTATGGAGGGAGCTGAAACTAAGTTGCTAAGCGACAGCCAAGAAACTTTAAGGATTTAGAGAACGTCTGTAAAGAGTGGACCAAAATCCCTCCCGTGTGCAAACCTGTTAACCAACTACAAGAAATGTCTTACCTCTTTGTTTGCCAACAAGCAGGGGCGGACTGACCATTCGAGCACTTGGGCACTGCCCGAGAGCCCGGGGTCATTGGGGGGGCCCCAGGAAATGCCCCTGGTACCTTTTTTTTTAATTGGCTTTTTTGGGTGTGCTTTGAGTGTGGGCAAGGACACAGGGGCCCCCTGAGCCCCTGCCAACAAGGGTTTCTTCATCAAGTACGAAGTCTTGTTTTGCTTGGGATCAAATCCTTATTTTACTCACTGAACTGCAACTCAATTTATAACATTTGTATCATGTGTTTTTTTTTTCTGAATTTGTGGTTGGTATTCTGTCTTTATCATTTAAAATACACCTGTGATAAAAATTATAGACCCTCCATTTCTTTGTAAGTGGGCAAACGTACAAAATCTGCAGGGGATCAAATAAATATTTTCCCCACTGTATCAGTATGGTTGGTATTAATTTTTCACAGTCACTTCTTTCTTAAAAGGTTTGCCTTCACAACATGACTGCAGTGGCATTTTCTCTTCGGGATAACAGCTGCTGTTTTCTCTTTCACATCTGTGTAACACCACTCTCTTCTCTCAGTATGTTAGGCAGTGGCAGGCAGCCTCCCAGCCAGTTCCTCCAGTCATGTGCACACAGTGCATATCACCTTAGTCTGGGTCCTTTCACCTTGCCTACAAGCTTACTCTACAGCAATTTCTGCAGCATTTCTTACAGATCATTCTGCCCTGGCCACAGACACACCACTAAACCTTTCCTTGTAGCAAGCAGTGCTTTATTATTATTAGGATTTATATAGGGCCAACAGTTTGCTCAGCGCTTTTACAATATAAATGAACCCTTTAAGCCAATTGTGCACGGAGCTGTATTAGGAGTAGTGCTTAGAATGTCCCCAGAACAGTAATAGAGGGAAGTCTTGCAATGGGGGCTCTAGTTCCTGTTGACTGTAGTGATAACCAGGGATTCCCTAACTTAGGAGGGATTTCCTCTCACTTCCTGTTTTGGCCAAGGGTACAGGAAGTGAAGGGATGTCTCCTCAATGTGACACAGTTGACAAAAATATAACTGACCACTGGTTAAAATCCTCCCTTGCCTAATCCTAAAATGAAAAGGAAAGTTTTGCCTTTAGTTCTTCTTTAACAACTCAGTGATAACAAGCAGTTTTCTTGCTAGTCTCAAAATGTACCACATTCCTTAGAGGAAATGTCATAGTACAAACCAGCAAAATTCAACCTCTTAATTGAGCTCCTCTACCTAATGAGTAAGCACACCTGCTTCCTAGTGAAAAATCTGAGGTGTTCTCACTGTTGGTAACCAGCAACATTCAGAGGTGTGGGGGCGGGCAGTGCATTTATTTTTTCTGCATTGCCGGTAGACAAACTGGATCATTTTGAATCTTTTGCCTCTCTGCAGTGCACCACAATAAAAATGGAAGCAAACCTACAAATGTACATGTTTCCTAAAGCAATCCAAGATGTGCACTAACTAATACCTGTTACAATTTTTAGTGTGTATAGTAAGCTCTAATAGTAATAACAATGGTAAGCTCTCAACTGAGCTATTAAGCCATGAAATTGCTGGTTTCAGAACTGCTCACATGTTCAGCACCATGGCAACTACAGATCAAATAGAGGCCAAGATGGCAGCTTCCTTGGCTGTAAAGGATAGGTGTTTTAGTTCTGTGTTAAAGAAGCGCACAGTTAGTCAGGGTATGCCCAATCTGTTCTGGTTTGTATTCTTCTACATCATGTAATTCAATAAAAAAGGAATTTGGGGGGGAGCACACAGTTGCAACAGGCAGGAGCTTAAATAGCATAGATTCGTTTGATTGCTTTGGTATGTTTGCTCCAGCTAGGGCCAGATGTAGGCTGTATTTGCTGTGAAACAACCAGTTGGTTATGTTGCTCTTTAGGCCAAACGCTCCCAGTCCTCCCCTTTTTTTTTATTGGACCTTAAATCACCAACAAGTTTGTTTATTGTGATTGACCAATAGGGTGGTGAGGAGGTAGGACAAAGCTTTGCTTTTATAAAAACAAAGACCTTTTCATAATTTGCTCAATTTTGGAATTTTTTTTTTTGTCACTTTAACATATTAATGTGCAATTGATCAGCTTATATAAATATTATTTATAATTGTAGTATTCTATAAACTTTTTTTGTTTTTGTACGTGTATATGTACATGGGGTGGTCATGTTAGTTTCATCACAAACAGTTTCAGCTTGCTGCTTTACAACACTACACTTTACTCTTCCTTCTCACATCGCAAGTCTATTTATATTTTTTTTCATACAAGATTCACACAACTTTAGCCAGGATTCACACATTTTCTAAATTCCAGTTGGAAAAAATGCGTGAACCTTGTGAGAAAACAATTTATAAATAGACCCCTGTGTGTGCTGACCCATTGAAAACTGAGCATTTTTGAAAGCAAGATTTCCTTCTAGTGAATGATTGGTAGATCGATATTTTTAAAGTGTAATTTACCCTAAAAAAAATTTCAGGTGTGCTTGTCTGTGTATATTCTATTGTAGTTTGCTTTCTGTACATTGACTGTTTTCATATCAGCTACCTGGTTGATCCTGCCAGTCCTTCTGCTTCTATAATGTCTATTGATTACAGCCAGCACAGAAGCACATTCATAACTCTGTGGTCAGTTTATGGTCAGGTCTGGTTATGTCCATTGGCTTGTTTCTAAGAGATACAGAATTCCATTCTCAAGCACGATATGCCTGCATCTCCCAAAGACTGCCTGAAAGCTCCCTGCCCATTCCCTTCTGGTTGATTCACGGAGACTCCTTGCTGGAGCCTCGATGACAAATCACTGCTTTTAGCCCTGTAGGAGGAGCATGGGTGTTCAAAGGAACCTCCTGCTGGATTGCCAGTCAGCCTTTGAAACACAGTACATACATATTTAGTGTTCGTCCTCTGCTTTTAGAAAGGTGTACAGCAAAGAAGCTTTGTGATCACCTGACTGTAAACTAAACCTACAAGGAAAGTTATTTTACGATCATTTACACTGTTTTTGTTTTGTATTTATTATTCTTATTATTATATAGGGTTTATATAGCGCCAACAGTTTGCTCATTGCTTTGCTATGTAACGGGAGACAATACAGCAA